TTTTCCTACTACCGGGTGTAGTTACTCCCAATTTTGTTTCATACGTTCTAGGTAGTATCTATCATATGGGAGAATATGTACGCATAGTATGTAGTATGTAAGAATGTTTAGGTAGTATATATACTATTTTTGAGGTAGTATGTTGTATATTTTGAGCATACTCCTTTGTACGTACAAATATGTACGTATTTCACAAATATTATAAAAAATGGGCTCACATGCAATTTTTCACATAACTCGCTTTAGAGTATCTTAGATATAGTATGTGAACATACTAAAAATAATAAAGTAGAGTATATACTATCACATGGTAGTATATGAGAAATGAGTGTAACTACACCCGGTAGTAGGATGCATTTTCCCTACAGAGAAGCCGATTATTAGGCAGTCAATCTAAATTACTACAGAGAAGCCGATTATTATAAGTTAAGTTTCGAAAGCATTGAGTCGTTTATGTGTGGAAAAAAATCAACGCTAGTACATCTTTCCTTCGTGAAATATATTTTTATAGGGAAAGTAGTGGCTCAACTTAACCCCACTCTTAAGCAAAACACTTCAAAAAAATTCTGAAATTTTGTGGGAATGATCATCAACAAATGTTATGGGTGCTTGCAATGTTTGGTGGTCAAATAACATTTGAGGAGCTCCATACAAAAAAGACAATATTACAAAATCTGCTCAAACAGTGCACTTACATTTTGACTACTTTTCAGTGATTTTTTTTTCTTTGTATAGAGCTCCTCGAATGTTATTTGACCACCAAACTTTACAAGCGCCCATAATATTTGTTGATGATCATTCCCATAAAGTTTCAATTTGTTTTTTGAAATGGTTTGCTCAGTTTTCTTGCCTAGGTGCATCGTGGGTACACCGAGCTGGGTGTAGGAAACCCACTCTCTTTTTCATATTAAATTTATTTGGTATTGTATATATTATTGTTTTTATGTAAATTAGCATACTCACGCGCGTTATACAAAGTGGTGGGTGTACTGCATGTTGGGTTATCACTATCAGAATTTGATTTCATAACTGGCCAATTGATTGATTATGCAGGTGACGAGGCACTTGCGGACCCAGCCTTGAAAAATACTTGCTTTTTCGCTATGGTACTTGCTAGCTTCGCGGTATGCATCACTTACCAAGCAGCACTGGATCCACCGGGCGGACTTTGGCAAGACAACCTGGATGGGCATAAGATCGGCCAGCCGGTGCTACAGACGACAAATCCTGCACGTTACTGGCTGTTCTTCTACAGCAACTCAGCAGTTTTCGTGACATCTCTGTTAGTGGTCATGATGGTACAGAGCAAGTTCCTGCTCACGCTCCGCACTTTGGTGGCATCCATGGTACTGGACCTGATCGGCCTCGTCATCGCCTACGCCGCCGGGAGTGCCAGAGATGCAAGCACGTCCATCTATTTCGTCGCCATGATTGGACTCGTCTTGGTCTACGCCGTTGTCCATATCGTATTCTTTATCGGAGGAGTGAACGAGAATGTCGTTGCTGAAGCTGAACAAGAGAAGCTGGAGGACAAGCGTCAGGTGCTGCTGCTAATCGTCATCTTGGTGGCGGCGCTCACCTATCAAGCTGGGCTGACCCCGCCGGGCGGCTTCTGGCCAGCGAATGACGAGAAGCTTGGTCATCGCGCGGGATACCCGGTCCTTGTCGATACCTATCCGCACCGCTACACGGCCTTTTTGTACTGCAACGCGGCGAGCTTCATGGTGTCGGTGGCTCTCATCCTCCTCGTGAACCACAAGCTGTACTGGCCGGCGCTTCGATGCAAGGCGCTACACGTGTGTATGGCGCACTGGTGGAAAAAGGGCCTTTGGTCGCGGTTCGCAACTGCCATTAGTCGCGGTTGCGCAAC